CTATCTGCAAGTCAGACTACATGCTCCATTAGTTAGGGTTGAACTAAGGAATATGCAGTGGAGCTCAATCACACACTGTCACCCAAATCCACCTCAGCCATATACGCATCCAGCTCTGCATCCAAATGACTCTTGGTCATAGACATGTACTCATCCAGTTGTTCATCCAACTGCTCCCGAGAAGGAATCTGGTGGCTGTCGAATCTAGCCCGGCTGCACCCTGAATGTGTCCTACTGACAGACGTAAAACGGCCACCACCTGTGCAGATAAACGAGAGTTATTTTATAGCTAAAACATGAGTGATGTGACATGTGGCCATGTATGGTTACCCATACTAGGAATTAATGCTCTGCATTTAACCCATCCTAAGTGCACACACACACACACACCGTGAACACACCCGGAGCAGTGGGCAGCCATTTATTTATGCTGTGGCACCCGGGGAGCAGTTGGGGGTTCACTTGCTCAAGGGCACCTCAGTCGTGGTATTGAAGGTGGAGAGAGCGCTGTACATTCACTCCCCCACCAACAATCCCTGCCGGTACGAGACTCAAACTCGCAACCTTTAGGTTACGAGTCCAACTCTCTAACCATTAGGCCATGACTTCCCCAAACCATGAGTGATGGTTATGACTGAAAACATTTGCATGTACTGAATCTAATCATATCACTTCAGTGAGGTGACAAATATGCATGATATTCTTACAATGTGAATAAAAAATGTCTTTTTGAGAGAAACATCTGCCAGTTTTTTAGTGCTCAGATTAATTAAATTAATTAACAAGAAATCAATTTATCTGCACCATTTGAAAAGAAATGGAATAGAGCCGATTTGTTTAAAGTGTTTCCATAACCAGGTAAATTACTGCAATCTCTGATGCTCACTGAATGCACTGAACAGGTCAACAGCCAAAAAAGCAAATGGAACTACATTTGTACATTTCAGCAAATATGCAGGCAATTCTAATGCTATTTGGCATGTATGTGACCCTGGACCACAAAACCAGTCTTAAGTTGCTGGGGTATATTTGTAGCAATAGCCAAAAATTACATTGTATGGGTCAAAATGATTGATTTTTCTTTTATGTCAAAAATCATTAGGATATTAAGTAAAGATCATGTTCCATGAAGATATTTTGTACATTTCCTACTGTAAATATATTAAAACTTAATTTTTGATTAGTAATATGCATTGCTAAGAACTTCATTTGGACAACTTTAAAGGCGATTTTCTCAATATTTAGATTTTTTGCACCCTCAGATTCCAGATTTTAAATGGTTGTATCTCGGCCAAATATTGTCCTATCCTAACAAGCCATGCATTAATGGAAAGCTTATGTATTCTTTTGTTTTGAGATGTTTTTCTCAATTTAGAAAAATTAGTTCCAGGGTATTTCATCTGACATCATCAGAGTAATTTGCTTAATAAACCAGTGTATGATTAGTGCATAAAAGATTAGTCAAAAGGAAACTAAGATTCAAAAGGGTTCGATCATAAGGAATCAAACTGTCCTTAACCTTTTGAGATTTTTTCATCATACTAATAAAGCACAACATAACTTTTTTTAATATTATTGTCCATAAAGCCAATAAGATTGACTAGAAATATTAACACTGACCACCCAGATTTACACATCAACAACACTTAATCAGCTGATCAGAAACTTCTCAGTTACAAAGCAGTTAAATATGCTGGATAATAACTACTATTATCTAATCAACAGAAAAACTAGTAAGATGGGAAAGTTTGTCAAACCTTGTGCTGTTCCTGGATGTGGCACCTGCAGCTCTGCATTTCCTTCTGAAGAATCCAAACATTAGGAGTTGCTAAGGTTTATTTTTAACAAATTCCATAATCATTTCGGTCTTAAATATAACATTTTCAGGACAAAATTGAGCAATGGGGTTTTGAGGGTGTTATTTTTGTGCGGCATAAAAGTAATTATTCACAACCAATGTTTTAGAGATGCAAAGATGGCAGCATGCAAGTTGCATACGTCTGGGGCCAAGCATTGAATTCACGCACCCCACAATTGAGAGCTATCAAGAAAAACTTAAGTGTAAGTTAAATTAATTCGATTTTCACTAGAATTAGTAAAGTGTTGCACATTTTACTGATACAGAAATGAGTAGGTGTATTTTGTAAAATGTCTGCAACTGCTTTTATCTCTTATTTAGAAGCACCACGATTAAACTGTCACAAATCTGTTACATAGTGACTATTGAACAGACATTTAGAAGAAAATTTTTAAAGTATTGTAACGTATTGAAAATAAAAGTGTGAGTGTGTTCTTTGCACACTTGTGGTAGTCACTCTTCATGGCTACTTGAACACTTAGGCCAAATACAGGAAATATGTCATGCAAGTAAACAAGTGGTCAAGTGCAAATACTGTTAAGTGTGGTTGTTGGGACAGGTATAACAGACCTCCATGTTCTCACCTGTCTTTCTAATGGCTCCTCCCCCTCTGTTTCCCACTGGTCCAGTCCAATTCACAATTCCTCCACGCTGTTGCTGGCTCCACCCCTTCTGAACATCTAGAGAGGAGACTAACCCTTGCAGACATCTTATGCCTGCACCCCAAAACACACACACATGCATGTACATGCTATATAATGTAATGCTGATGTTTATCTCATCTCATCTACTCTCTCACTCACTTTTCCTTGTGTAAAATCCTTTGACCAGTCCACTTCTGCCACCGCCTCCTCCTCCTCCTCTCTTTTGCCCCTGCTCTCTCCCCATGGGACAGCCAAGTCTCGCCTTCACGCTCACTTTGCACAGTTGATTATTTATATTCTGCAGAGAGGAAGAGTCACAGAAACTATTTAGTCTGCTATCAGAAAACATCAGCTCTGAGAGGTCTGTATTTCGTCAAACAGAATGTGCCTGACAGATGTGTTATGAAGGGCGGCCAGCACAGAGGGTCTGTTGGCCATCTCCAGAGCCAGGCGCTGGTTCTTCAGCGAGGCTGCAGTCTGCTGGTTCACTGCGGCTGTGATGTCCATCACATCTGCCGTCTCATGCTTCAGCAAACTGGTGAAGCTTCAGGGAGGAGAACAAGACGACAGAGAATCACACCACAATATTACAGTGGAAGCACTGTAAACAAATGTATCTCTGGACCTTGGACAAAGTTTTAAAACTTTTTGAATACGATTCGAGTGCCTTGGACTACTATTATTCTTATGAGTATCTCTGGATTAGATTTCGATAATAGCAGTTAATAGCAGCAAGGCTAATTCTCACCGGTCATGCAGAGAGACGGTGCATGTGCTGGTCAGGAGGATCTTTTGGGAATCCTGAGGATTCATTTTCACATCCAGCTTGCGGTGTACAAGTCAGACTTTCAGACAAACATATGCTAAAAATGCAGAATGAGAAGTGAAATTAGTGTTGACATCTAACTTTACCCTACAGTCCTAATTCTAAGTGTATGTTTGGGTCTGAGCCAATTCAGCAATCAACCGATTTGCACGGAACAAAACTTAGCAAACATTTGAACGTGCAAAATTTAACAGAAAAGTCGCATATTTTAATATTTAGACTATAAATATTACTTATAAAATCGCGTTTATTGATTTACCACCATTCAAGTTAGCATCAATGTAGGCGCACAGCACAACGTTACTTCTTAGTCGGATGTTTTGTGCCAGGTGTGCGGAGTTTGGGACAGTGATTCACCCTCGCTGCCGTGCCGCGGTTCAATGTTTACCGCCCTCTACCGGACAGAGCGGCACATGGACACTACAATCTGCGTCAAAGAATAACATTTATTTTATTATATATTTTTTATTTGGATCTGGATAATATTTTTGTATAACGTTTTTTTATATTTCACTATTAGAGTGATGTTAGATGTTTAAGCTTTAAGAGAAACGTATATATTGTATATCATATTTAATTCACATTTGTATTGTACAAAAAAAAATCATAAAAGATCATACATTTTTCATCAATCAAAATCAAAACGACCCAGTTAAGGGTTTCTTCCGTAGTATTATTATTCAAACCTAAGATGAAATCTAAATGGATTTGAATAATCCTAAATTAAATCTAAGATGTTTTACTATACAAGTCAGCTGACCCACCAGGTAAATCAGCCTGGTTTCTGAGCAGGTTACTTACTTCACTTTTACTTGCGTTCAGAACAAAATGATGAATAACTATTCCTTTAAGGATACAATTCAAATAATGAATCTGATTGAAACTTCAATAACAAAAACAATGTTAAAGTTAAACAACGAAAGCCAATGGCTACCAGCAACTGTTTGGTTAGCAACATTCTTCAAAATATATTCTTTTGTGTTCAACCGAATAAAGAAAATCATACAGGTTTAGAACAACATGAATTTTCATTTTTGGGTGAACTATTTCTTTAATGGTCCTAAAACACACTTAATTTCCTTTAATCAAACTATTTTGGTGCTTTAAGGGGTCAAATATGACCTGAACATGTGTTTGACTTATATTCATATGTTAATTCACCCCAATTAAACACTATGGCAGGTATAAATAAATATGATAGTTCAAACATCCTATACGATACATTAACTGGTTTTGATGTCAAAATGTAAACTCACATGCACACATTGAATAATGTATTATCACTGTAATCTGTACAACATTAAATGCACATGCATTGAGAAACTGAATAATGTGCACACGGTCAGCAATGTGATAATATTAAGAAAAGTTTCATTTTATGCAAACATATGCAGCGACGCAATGCGGCAACTACCAATGGGTACAACTTTTTATTTTATTTTTTTGCGCACCGATTTATTGCTTATTAATATTTATTTATTTATGTTTGTTTGTTTGTTTGTTTGTTTTACATTGCATTACATTACATAATTGTGGCCGTTGGCCTTTGTCTCCGTTTCAGATTTCAGTTTTACTGCGCTTTATTTGTATGACAAAAAACTCTACATTTGTGTCGCCAGGGGAGTTCTCTCTCTCTCTCTCTCTCTCTCTCTCTCTCTCTCTCTCTCTCATTAAACGAGCAACTACCGCGAGCGAGTCAGACGTGCACAGACATACGCAGAAGAGTACGCACGTGACACCTAACTGCATTGTAAGTAGTCCTTATATTGACTTACATGAATTTGTTTTTTGTGTTTTATGTATTTAGGAATTAATAGTTGTGTCAGTAACTATATACGGTCTCAGAAAGAGTGAAACCGAATAAATACGTGTCTGAGTCAGGAAGTAACTGTTCGGCGTTTCCCACTTAAATTGAGAGTGATGGACTCGTCTATTATGGGATATCATATCAATTTATTTGTTTAGTAATAAGTATAGTTACATTGAATTGAATTCTGTATTTTCATACTTAAACGTTGGTCTGTTTTTGTGTATCTGCCTATTAAAAATGAAATAAAATCCTATTCTCCACATCACCTGTGCAGCAATGCCAGTCTGAATGCCCAGTTCTGAGACCTGTGGTTACATTCTTGTATTTGTATACATTTTCTGTATTGCTTTGAAGACTACACAGTGGCCCCAAAGGTTTTTGGACAGTTTTACCACACTTGAAAAGTTTGACAATCAACTTTTTGTGAAATGTTTTGAGTGAAAACTGTGCTTGTTCTTTCATTCTTTCTTTAAAACAATTACAACATGATTTTATGTTTATATCCAATGCCATGACATTCATACATTTTTAAGTGTTGCTGAAGTGTTCAGGCCACATTCATGTACCATTTTTAATTTGCTTCTCTTCTAAATGAGTGGGAGCAGAATGTCTGTGAATGCGCCCAGCAGCAGTGATGCATGTTTAAGCATCGTTCACAGCCTGATGTGCCACCGCCAGGGAGGAGAGAATGAGAGCTTCGCCAAACGTGCCATCGAAAGCCTGGTAAAGAAACTCAAAGAGAAAAGAGACGAGCTCGACTCCCTCATCACTGCTATCACCACAAATGGAGTTCATCCAAGCAAGTGTGTCACCATACAAAGAACACTGGATGGACGTTTACAGGTCAGAGCACTACCGGCCCACATCATCTGTTTTTGACACTTATTAATCATACTTAATAAGACAACGTGTAATCTTGAGTAACAGTTCACAGTATGTAAGACCATGCTAAACAAGCATCTACCCTGTTGAAATCTAGTTAGCTATGTTAATTCAGCTGGTATGGAGTTGGTCTGTCTGGTCAACCAACATATCCATGTGAAACTTAACTGCTAATAGGATTCAACCACAAATGGTCAGTGACTTTTGATGATGCTGGTTGACCAAGGAAGCAAGTTAATCTTACTTAATTTAAGACTTAGACTTAATTTAAGAAGTCTGATGGGGAGACAAGCATCCCAGCCTGGGTACCAACATTAAAAACAAGTCATATACGAGCCAGTGTTGTTATTTTTAACTAAAACTATTTAAAAAAATGTTAATTGAAATAAGGATTAAATAAAAATATGAAATAAAACACTTTTAAAAAATTATACAAAATTAGAAATGTTGTCTTAACAATTAACTGAAATAAATAAGTTAAAGTAACAGAGTGAAGTTAGAGCAGTGGGTTGAAGTACTAAAATTATTAAAACTAAAACTGAAATAAAATGAATTAAAGCTATATAGATATAAAAAAATCTAATAAAAATGACAAAAGCATGTAACAAAATTACTAAAACTAAAATTAAAATGAAAGCTGAAAAAATAAAAATAAAAGCCAATTCAAAATAATAATATGAATGCTATAATAGTATATAGATGATACAGAATTAACACTGAAACTCGCATGCTAAGCAGTGTTGAGGAAAGTTACTTTTAAAATTATGCATTACAATATTGCGTTACTCCATAAAAAAGTAACTAATTACGTTACAACTAATTACGGTACTTAGTTACTTTTTATGGAAAGTAATGCGTTACGTTACTTTTGCGTTACTTTTTAAATCTGGACTGGGCTTGCTTGTTTGTTTTTAAAATAAAAAAGTTATATTTTTGGCAAATATAGAAGCCTTTTCACACCAAAAGTGAAATGAATAAGCCTCAGGCTGAAGGGAAAGTAAATTTACATCTGTACAGTAGAATGCAGAAGAAGAAATTTCAACACACTTCAGCAATAAAAAAAGACACACAAATGTTTGTCTAGAGTAATTTGTGCTTATTAGTACAGTTGAACTGGATCATCGAAGGTCAGAAGCAAAGACATTGGTTAATAGAATGGGATTAAATACATAAAGGATATTTGTGTTGTTTAACATTGAATTATTGCAGGTTTGCGTCATATTCTGAGTTGCATTATTTTTATTCATTTTGAGGAATATTGAATCTGTGTTCTTGTTTTTTTTGTGAGTGAGATGAAGTAATGCATATTCATATTTATTTTCGAACTATAGTAACATGGGGACAGGAGAGCTGTCAATCAATAAATTGGAAAAAAAAGTAACTTGTGTTACTTATTTGAAAAAGTAACGCAGATATTCTCTTGTAAATTAAAAAGTAATGTGTTACTTTACTAGTTACTTTAAAAAAGTAATCTGATTACGTAACTCGCGTTACTTGTAATGCGTTACCCCCAACACTGATGCTAAGCAATGCTGTTTTTTTTCAGCAGGGTAATAGATCGTATACCAGGCTGTAGGTATCATCTTACACATAAATAGGCTGTTATTATGGAAAAGAGCAATCATTTTTCAGTGTTAATTATTTCTCTGATTGTGACTGACATTGTGTAAACAGGGTATGTGGCCAGTTCTCCACTTCAAATGAAATCTGAACATAAACAATATCAAATAAAGCTCCTGCATGTCAGCGTTAATTACATGTCAAAATACAGAAAAAGACACTGCAAATTTTTCCTAGAGGTTCCATGCTTCTTCCATGACAGACATGATTTCACTTGTGTCATCTACATTATAATGAATTTTCAAGAACGTAATTAACTGAAATAGATTCACTTAAAGAGCCAGTCAACCCAAAAAGCATGCATTAACACTTTTACCGACAAATAAACAGTCCCATCATATTGTAATGTTTTTTAATAAAGTGTGACATTTTGTTATGTGATCAGTTTTCACATTTAAGACCAGAAGTCTGGCAGACTTTCACCTCTGCTGCATTTATAACCATCAGAGGAGGAGAATCGAGGTATGAGTGATGTTAACATGGAATCTTTTCTCCCAAAATAGTCATTTCATGATTTGAGAGAGAAGAGAGGCCCGTGGAGAGCGAGACAGAGAGTTTTCCCTTCCCCCAGCTGTAGACGGGGAGAGAGGCGGGTGGAGGGCGAGGAAGGGTTGTTTTGTCTGAAACACAGGAAAGGGGCGGAGCCAAGCTTAAGCCTGTCTGTCTCGCAGTCTGTGTATGTGGGAGAGAGACATCAGTATTTGAAGCATGAGTGCAATGTGTTCAAGTAGGACATTTATGCAACAAGTTGTAAATGCATGTGTGCATCAGTATGGATTTGAGCTGAACTCTCTGTTTCATGTCAAGCACAGCTATTAGGGTTTGTTAGTGGAGAAATGCGATGTTTATGAAAATGAGAGTTCTGAGAGTTTAATATGGTGCTCTGTCTGTGTGTGAGTTTGTAAAACGTAATGGGTTTGGCAGTGGACCAGCTCTGTCTCTGTCTGTGCACCGACTGCCTCCGCTTTGACTTGCTCAGGAAGGTCAGTCTCCTGGGTGGAGAATTGTAAGTCATTCCAATAGCAAATGAGGTCACAGTGTGTTGTCACTCACACATGATTTAGAGAAGATGGTCTGACACCAGAGTCAAATGTTTCTCTGTACTTTTTATCTTCTGTGTTCCTTTCTGATAGAGCATCCCTGACTTCAGACCTGTCCATCCATCCAAAAGTTTGACCATTCTTAACTTTTTGTCTAGTTAATATTTAATATGAATGCATTGTGAAGTAGTAACAAAAGCTCTTTAAATCCTTAGAATCAAAATTTAGATCTATAGCTTGCCTTGTTTAGATACGACAAAAATGACCTAAAATTATCTTATCTGATGTTATCTAAATATATAATACAATATAATTATGGTGTAAACTTATCTCTAAAACATATTTTATTTAAAACTAAATATAACTGGAAGTACAAATATAGACCACCATGCAGAAGTTTGGGGGCAGTAAGATTTTAATACAGTTGCATTAAATGCATTATATTGACCAAAAGTGACAGTAAAGAAAAGAAAAATCTTACATTTTTACATTTTTTAATTTTCTATACATCAAACAATCAGGGAAACAATGTATCAGAGTTTCCACAAAAATATAAAGCAGCACAAATGTTTTCAATATTGGTGATATGTTTCTTGAGCACCAAATCAGCATATTAGACAAATTTCTGAAGCAAGACTGGAGTAATGGCTGCTGACAATTTAGCTTTTCCATCACAGGAATAAATTACAATAGCAAATTATTAAAGTACTGTAGAAAACAGTTATTTTAAATTGTAATAATATTTCTCAGTATTACTGTTTTTATTGAGTATAAAAGACTTGCCCCAAACTTTTAAACGGTAGAGGCATAAAGAACATTTTAGCTAATTCACTTGACATTCTCTGAATAAATCATGACATTAATACTAATTATTATTTTGAGCCCTAATTTTCATATTGGTTTTATACTTAAGGTCTATTAAACAGAGATGAGAGACCATGATTGTCACATTTTCCAGTTGTGTTTTACATCACATTACAGCATCAGTCTACTATTTCGTTTGGCAAAAAGTGTAACTAGCTCATCTATTTCTAAGCCATTAGTTATGTCTTTCTCGTGAGCCAAAGTCATCAAATTCATTTTTCTCTCAGAGAATAGTTCTTTGGAATGGTGTTAGGACTCGGGTCAGGGTGGAGAATGAATATGATACTGAGGATAAGCGATTATCAGTGCATGCACTCCAGAAAATGCTCCGGTCAGTGCAGTAATAATAACACATAATAGATAAAAGGAGATCAAAATGATGAGCAAAAATTTCAACAGAATATAGAGAAGTCAGTAGGTAGAAAATCAGCAGGTCTTTTCTTTGCTGAGTGTTCATACCTCAATTGCATGTAACTTAAACGAAAGAACATGCAAGCCTCAGATATAGTTGACAACCCCATAAAGCTGTGTAATTTTTTTGTTAATTTCTCTAATTAAGAATACATAATAATGTCACAACATAATAATGTTGTGATTACTCTTCAGGTGGCTGGGCGGAAAGGTTTCCCTCATGTCATATACGCGCGTCTGTGGCGATGGCCGGACCTTCACAAGAATGAACTCAAGCATGTCAAGTTCTGTCAGTATGCATTCGATCTGAAGTACGATAACGTGTGTGTGAACCCCTACCACTATGAGCGCGTGGTGTCCCCTGGGATTGGTGCGTATGTTACTAAAAACACGAACTACGTATGAAACTAACTAAACATTTTTCATCACTTTTATCATTTTACAAGGAAATATTTTGATAAATAATAGGCAATGAATATTTGACTCTATATTTTTTTTCTTTCTTCTCAGTTGGATTCAGTTTGCCAAACACAGGTGAGTGGAGCTCTGAGTAAATAGTGGAGGACATTAGCACTTGTATTTCTTCTTCAAATGTGAAAGAATGTCTCAAGCATTCATCCGGGCTAATCGCCGATGGCTCTGATCGCTGCACTGCTGGCAGCCAGCCTTTAATCATACAGAGACTGCCATAAAATGTGTCAGATCAAGACATGCAAGGACTTGCCTTGCAGTGAAAGAGACAAACAGGGACAGGAGTTTGGAGAGGAGCTCAAAGATGTTTTGACACTCATTCTCATCCCTCAGGCAGGCTGATAAAAGAAGAGCACATACATGACTGCATCCAGATGGAGGGTCCGTCGAGTATGACCTTACAGCTAGACCATCATCCTCCAGATCACTACAGCCCACAGCCGCTGAGACTGATGTCCCCAGAGCTGCCCCAGCGGACCACTTCCTCTGTCACTCTCTACCCCAGCCTGCCCCTCTCTCCACCCTGTAAGTACAGCAAAGCATGGAGTAAGGGGTTTTGTTGGTTTTGGCAGTGTAATCATAAAAATGAATGTATTAAATATGTTTCAATGCAGTAGAATGATTTGAATTAAAAACCATCTAATTGCATTATGGGGCATATTTACTAAGCTTTTCTTTATTTAGTCTTTTTTTATTACATTATTTTTTATTTATTATATTGGATTGATTGATTAACTGATAATAAATGGGGTGTGCATAACAACATTTTTCAAAATCTACTAGTTGGTGTTTTACCTTAGCAATGGAAAAACAAACTTTAAGTTGACATGCTGTCTTAAAAAAATAATAATGTTTTTATTATAATGAGATAGTAAAACATTATCAGTCTCGTTCTCTCTCTAACCCTCTCTAAAGCAAGTGCATCCAGGTTGTCAATGCAGGTGGAACGTCCTGAGGGACTGTTGCAGATCGCATCCCCAGCGGGACGGGCCTTGACCTCCAGCTCTCCACCTTCCACCCCAACACACAGTCACGCACCCACACACAGCCAGCCTTCTTCCCAGCAGCCCTCCGTCAGCCAGAGTGAATACAGCACCTCAAAGCACACACAGACACAGGGAACTTACCACAGTGAGTCCTTTTTATAAATCACATAGGGTCATGTATTGAATATTGACCTTGTTGAATTTTATCATCAAAATTTTACAAGTTGTATATGTTTGTAAGGCAGTTCATCTGTATGACATTATCAATGAAAGACCGATCTATGAAATCAGTATGAAGTCATATTAAATGTGTTTATTTTTAAACATCTCAGCAACAACCTGGACAGGGACCAGCACAGCCTCCTATACTCCTGCTGGACCACAGCAGAATGGGCGGAGTCATCAGCAAGCCCCTCCCCCTCACACTAGCCACTTCTGTATGTACATTTACATGTCACATCAACACGTTTTTGTAAAATGTAGATAATAATAATCGTAAAATAATTTAATAAACTCATGTAATAAATTAAATATATAAATATATAAATGCATAAGATTTTTTGAAAGAAAAAACTGTTTTGAAAAAATGTTCACAAAGACTGCATTTGTTTTATAAAAACAAAACAGTAAAACATTAATATAGTGAAATATTTACAATTTATAGTAATCATTTTCTATCTTGATATTTTTAGTCTATTTTAAAATGTAATTTATTAATGTGATGGCAAAGCTGAATTTGATTTCTTAAAGAAAAAAACTCTTTCTGACCCCAAATTTTGAACGGTAGTGTATATAAATAATATATAAATACATATGTATAAAAAATGTTTCATGAAATGTAATAAATTTTGTAATTGTTACATAGATGTTTGTCATCATAATGATTATATGCAATGATGGCTCTCCATGTAATGATATAAATGTCTAGTTCTTTCATGAAACACTAAATGGCGCACTGATGGGTACTTAAAGGGTTAGTTCACCCAAAAATGAAAATTAGGCTGCGTTTTACTCCTAGGTGAATATGACTTTCTTCTTTCAGACGAATCCAATCGGAGTTATATTAAAAAATTGTCTTTGATCTTTCAAGCTGTTTAATGCCACTCAGCGGGTGTTGCATTGCTTCAGTCCAAAAGAACTTAAATAAAAATCGCCCGCCCGTCCATAAAAAAAAGTCTCTCACACGGCTCCGGTGGGGTGAACAAAGGCCTTCTGTAGCGAATCGATGTGTTTTTGTAAGAAAAATATCCATATTCAAAACTTAATAATCACTTGAATCTAGCTTGCGCTCACTGTTGTAAACAGTGCGGGGGGAATGACGTATGAGGTCGGCTAATTGTAAAGAAGAATATCAGAGGATTTTGATATAAGCCAAGAGGAGACTGGTTTTCCTTTGCTAAAGTAAGGAAACTGGTTTTCCTTATGTGGCCAGTTCTCCACTTCAAATGAAATCTGAACATAAACAATATCAAATAAAGCTCCTGCATGTCAGCGTTAATTACATGTCAAAATACAGAAAAAGACACTGCAAATTTTTCCTAGAGGTTCCATGCTTCTTCCATGACAGACATGATTTCACTTGTGTCATCTACATTATAATGAATTTTCAAGAACGTAATTAACTGAAATAGATTCACTTAAAGAGCCAGTCAACCCAAAAAGCATGCATTAACACTTTTACCGACAAATAAACAGTCCCATCATATTGTAATGTTTTTTAATAAAGTGTGACATTTTGTTATGTGATCAGTTTTCACATTTAAGACCAGAAGTCTGGCAGACTTTCACCTCTGCTGCATTTATAACCATCAGAGGAGGAGAATCGAGGTATGAGTGATGTTAACATGGAATCTTTTCTCCCAAAATAGTCATTTCATGATTTGAGAGAGAAGAGAGGCCCGTGGAGAGCGAGACAGAGAGTTTTCCCTTCCCCCAGCTGTAGACGGGGAGAGAGGCGGGTGGAGGGCGAGGAAGGGTTGTTTTGTCTGAAACACAGGAAAGGGGCGGAGCCAAGCTTAAGCCTGTCTGTCTCGCAGTCTGTGTATGTGGGAGAGAGACATCAGTATTTGAAGCATGAGTGCAATGTGTTCAAGTAGGACATTTATGCAACAAGTTGTAAATGCATGTGTGCATCAGTATGGATTTGAGCTGAACTCTCTGTTTCATGTCAAGCACAGCTATTAGGGTTTGTTAGTGGAGAAATGCGATGTTTATGAAAATGAGAGTTCTGAGAGTTTAATATGGTGCTCTGTCTGTGTGTGAGTTTGTAAAACGTAATGGGTTTGGCAGTGGACCAGCTCTGTCTCTGTCTGTGCACCGACTGCCTCCGCTTTGACTTGCTCAGGAAGGTCAGTCTCCTGGGTGGAGAATTGTAAGTCATTCCAATAGCAAATGAGGTCACAGTGTGTTGTCACTCACACATGATTTAGAGAAGATGGTCTGACACCAGAGTCAAATGTTTCTCTGTACTTTTTATCTTCTGTGTTCCTTTCTGATAGAGCATCCCTGACTTCAGACCTGTCCATCCATCCAAAAGTTTGACCATTCTTAACTTTTTGTCTAGTTAATATTTAATATGAATGCATTGTGAAGTAGTAACAAAAGCTCTTTAAATCCTTAGAATCAAAATTTAGATCTATAGCTTGCCTTGTTTAGATACGACAAAAATGACCTAAAATTATCTTATCTGATGTTATCTAAATATATAATACAATATAATTATGGTGTAAACTTATCTCTAAAACATATTTTATTTAAAACTAAATATAACTGGAAGTACAAATATAGACCACCATGCAGAAGTTTGGGGGCAGTAAGATTTTAATACAGTTGCATTAAATGCATTATATTGACCAAAAGTGACAGTAAAGAAAAGAAAAATCTTACATTTTTACATTTTTTAATTTTCTATACATCAAACAATCAGGGAAACAATGTATCAGAGTTTCCACAAAAATATAAAGCAGCACAAATGTTTTCAATATTGGTGATATGTTTCTTGAGCACCAAATCAGCATATTAGACAAATTTCTGAAGCAAGACTGGAGTAATGGCTGCTGACAATTTAGCTTTTCCATCACAGGAATAAATTACAATAGCAAATTATTAAAGTACTGTAGAAAACAGTTATTTTAAATTGTAATAATATTTCTCAGTATTACTGTTTTTATTGAGTATAAAAGACTTGCCCCAAACTTTTAAACGGTAGAGGCATAAAGAACATTTTAGCTAATTCACTTGACATTCTCTGAATAAATCATGACATTAATACTAATTATTATTTTGAGCCCTAATTTTCATATTGGTTTTATACTTAAGGTCTATTAAACAGAGATGAGAGACCATGATTGTCACATTTTCCAGTTGTGTTTTACATCACATTACAGCATCAGTCTACTATTTCGTTTGGCAAAAAGTGTAACTAGCTCATCTATTTCTAAGCCATTAGTTATGTCTTTCTCGTGAGCCAAAGTCATCAAATTCATTTTTCTCTCAGAGAATAGTTCTTTGGAATGGTGTTAGGACTCGGGTCAGGGTGGAGAATGAATATGATACTGAGGATAAGCGATTATCAGTGCATGCACTCCAGAAAATGCTCCGGTCAGTGCAGTAATAATAACACATAATAGATAAAAGGAGATCAAAATGATGAGCAAAAATTTCAACAGAATATAGAGAAGTCAGTAGGTAGAAAATCAGCAGGTCTTTTCTTTGCTGAGTGTTCATACCTCAATTGCATGTAACTTAAACGAAAGAACATGCAAGCCTCAGATATAGTTGACAACCCCATAAAGCTGTGTAATTTTTTTGTTAATTTCTCTAATTAAGAATACATAATAATGTCACAACATAATAATGTTGTGATTACTCTTCAGGTGGCTGGGCGGAAAGGTTTCCCTCATGTCATATACGCGCGTCTGTGGCGATGGCCGGACCTTCACAAGAATGAACTCAAGCATGTCAAGTTCTGTCAGTATGCATTCGATCTGAAGTACGATAACGTGTGTGTGAACCCCTACCACTATGAGCGCGTGGTGTCCCCTGGGATTGGTGCGTATGTTACTAAAAACACGAACTACGTATGAAACTAACTAAACATTTTTCATCACTTTTATCATTTTACAAGGAAATATTTTGATAAATAATAGGCAATGAATATTTGACTCTATATTTTTTTTCTTTCTTCTCAGTTGGATTCAGTTTGCCAAACACAGGTGAGTGGAGCTCTGAGTAAATAGTGGAGGACATTAGCACTTGTATTTCTTCTTCAAATGTGAAAGAATGTCTCAAGCATTCATCCGGGCTAATCGCCGATGGCTCTGATCGCTGCACTGCTGGCAGCCAGCCTTTAATCATACAGAGACTGCCATAAAATGTGTCAGATCAAGACATGCAAGGACTTGCCTTGCAGTGAAAGAGACAAACAGGGACAGGAGTTTGGAGAGGAGCTCAAAGATGTTTTGACACTCGTTCTCATCCCTCAGGCAGGCTGATAAAAGAAGAGCACATACATGACTGCATCCAGATGGAGGGTCCGTCGAGTATGACCTTACAGCTAGACCATCATCCTCCAGATCACTACAGCCCACAGCCGCTGAGACTGATGTCCCCAGAGCTGCCCCAGCGGACCACTTCCTCTGTCACTCTCTACCCCAGCCTGCCCCTCTCTCCACCCTGTAAGTACAGCAAAGCATGGAGTAAGGGGTTTTGTTGGTTTTGGCAGTGTAATCATAAAAATGAATGTATTAAATATGTTTCAATGCAGTAGAATGATTTGAATTAAAAACCATCTAATTGCATTATGGGGCATATTTACTAAGCTTTTCTTTATTTAGTCTTTTTTTATTACATTATTTTTTATTTATTATATTGGATTGATTGATTAACTGATAATAAATGGGGTGTGCATAACAACATTTTTCAAAATCTACTAGTTGGTGTTTTACCTTAGCAATGGAAAAACAAACTTTAAGTTGACATGCTGTCTTAAAAAAATAATAATGTTTTTATTATAATGAGATAGTAAAACATTATCAGTCTCGTTCTCTCTCTAACCCTCTCTAAAGCAAGTGCATCCAGGTTGTCAATGCAGGTGGAACGTCCTGAGGGACTGTTGCAGATCGCATCCCCAGCGGGACGGGCCTTGACCTCCAGCTCTCCACCTTCCACCCCAACACACAGTCACGCACCCACACACAGCCAGCCTTCTTCCCAGCAGCCCTCCGTCAGCCAGAGTGAATACAGCACCTCAAAGCACACACAGACACAGGGAACTTACCACAGTGAGTCCTTTTTATAAATCACATAGGGTCATGTATTGAATATTGACCTTGTTGAATTTTATCATCAAAATTTTACAAGTTGTATATGTTTGTAAGGCAGTTCATCTGTATGACATTATCAATGAAAGACCGATCTATGAAATCAGTATGAAGTCATATTAAATGTGTTTATTTTTAAACATCTCAGCAACAACCTGGACAGGGACCAGCACAGCCTCCTATACTCCTGCTGGACCACAGCAGAATGGGCGGAGTCATCAGCAAGCCCCTCCCCCTCACACTAGCCACTTCTGTATGTACATTTACATGTCACATCAACACGTTTTTGTAAAATGTAGATAATAATAATCGTAAAATAATTTAATAAACTCATGTAATAAATTAAATATATAAATATATAAATGCATAAGATTTTTTGAAAGAAAAAACTGTTTTGAAAAAATGTTCACAAAGACTGCATTTGTTTTATAAAAACAAAACAGTAAAACATTAATATAGTGAAATATTTACAATTTATAGTAATCATTTTCTATCTTGATATTTTTAGTCTATTTTAAAATGTAATTTATTAATGTGATGGCAAAGCTGAATTTGATTTCTTAAAGAAAAAAACTCTTTCTGACCCCAAATTTTGAACGGTAGTGTATATAAATAATATATAAATACATATGTATAAAAAATGTTTCATGAAATGTAATAAATTTTGTAATTGTTACATAGATGTTTGTCATCATAATGATTATATGCAATGATGGCTCTCCATGTAATGATATAAATGTCTAGTTCTTTCATGAAACACTAAATGGCGCACTGATGGGTACTTAAAGGGTTAGTTCACCCAAAAATGAAAATTAGGCTGCGTTTTACTCCTAGGTGAATATGACTTTCTTCTTTCAGACGAATCCAATCGGAGTTATATTAAAAAATTGTCTTTGATCTTTCAAGCTGTTTAATGCCACTCAGCGGGTGTTGCATTGCTTCAGTCCAAAAGAACTTAAATAAAAATCGCCCGCCCGTCCATAAAAAAAAGTCTCTCACACGGCTCCGGTGGGGTGAACAAAGGCCTTCTGTAGCGAATCGATGTGTTTTTGTAAGAAAAATATCCATATTCAAAACTTAATAATCACTTGAATCTAGCTTGCGCTCACTGTTGTAAACAGTGCGGGGGGAATGACGTATGAGGTCGGCTAATTGTAAAGAAGAATATCAGAGGATTTTGATATAAGCCAAGAGGAGACTGGTTTTCCTTTGCTAAAGTAAGGAAACTGGTTTTCCTTTGCTAAAGTAAGGAAACTTTGCTTCCTTTGATCCTGTGTAAAAACGTTGGTTTTCACGAGACTCACCGGCGCATGCGCAACGCTGACCTCATATGTCATGCTCCCGGAACTGCTTCTGTGTACAACTGTTGGCGCAAGCTACATTAAAGTGATTATTACATTTTAAATATGGATATTTTTCTTACAAAAACACATGGATTCGCTACAGAAGGCCTTTGTTCACCCCCCCAAAGCCGTGTGAGACTTTTTTTTATGGATAGGCTATTTTTATTTAAAGGGGTCATATGATGTTGTTAAAAAGAACATTATTTAGTGTATTTGGTGTAATGAAATGTTTATGCGGTTTAAGGTTAAAAAAACACATTATTTTCCACATACTGTACATTATTGTTTCTCCTCTATGCCCCGCCTTTCTGAAACACGTTGATTTTTACAAAGCTCATCGGTCTGAAAAGCGAGGTGTGCTGTGATTGGCCAGCTATCCAGTGCGTTGTGATTGGCCGAACACCTCAAGCGTGTGACGGAAATGTTACGCCCCTTACCATACTGTGATGCCGTGTTCTGGCCGGAGCGACGAGACAAAAACATTAAAAGCCATTATAAACGAGGCATTTGTTGCATCCAGTGGGGACATAATTACGGATTATAATGATTTATACTGTCTTTTTACGCGTTGCATCGCGCTGTGTAAACATAAAACCATGTCTGCATTTGTGATCGGAGAAATGACATACAAGTGTTACAACTTAACCACTGATTTCTAGTCGTGTCCTCTTTTGGAAGACCAAACAAAAGTAGTTTCACTTTCACAACGAAACACAGCGCCTTCACGACATGGCGGCAGCAACAATACTACAGCGAGAATAAAAGTTACGCCTGCTTTCTTTGCGTGAACATTTGGGTGGCGTTATGCAAATCTTCCCACACAGTGACGTAGACATGTGGGGGCGTGTTTAAACAAGCCGTTTTAGGAGGGCGTGGACGAGTCTTAACTTCTATATAGAATATCTCTTTGGGTTTGAGACTTTAATCTTTGCAACTTTAGGGATCTTATCTATTCACGAACAGCTTGTAACACTCCAAAGAGAAAGGAAAACTTTAAATCGCATCATATGACCCCTTTAAGTTCTTTTGGACTGAAGCAATGCAACACCCGCTGAGTGGCAGCTTGAAAGATCAAAGACAATTTTTAATATAACTCCGACTGGATTCGTTTGAAAGAAGAAAGTCATATACACCTAGGATGCCTCGGGGGTGAGTAAAACGCAGCCTAATTTTCATTTTTGGGTGGACTAACCCTTTAGCGTAACTAATGATATTTACAGCATTAAACGACTTGGCACAAGCTGATTGGTTCATGTTGCACACGCAGCCAATGAGTTTGCAGCTTTACATTTAAATGGCTGGTTAGCATCCACTTTCCTTTGAATTCCTTTGAAACCCTCCATCTTCCCCAGCACAACCTGTATAGATCTGCTACAGGTTATTTTATATGCCATTTGTGCAGCAGCAGTATGTCTTAAATACTCACAGCACCGTTTCGCCATATGCATTGGCAGTAGCAAGTTCCTGTACTTGCAGCAATAATCTACAACAACAGCAATAACCAAAAGCAGCAGCAGCTGTCACGGAATGCCAGGAGAAAACAAAGTTAGATCCAAGTGCAGTATGTTTATTAAAGTAACAAATAATCCAAAAACAGAACAAAAACTAGGCAAAAGGTAAATTCAAAACACAGGGAACAGAAAACACGACGGAACCTCAAACAATACTGCAGCAAAGACATACAGTGTGAGCATGGTATAAATAGTGATGAAATGATGAGTAAATTGCCCGCAGGTGATCATGATCAGAACAGAAACGACAAAGCAAAGGACTATGGGAATTAGAGTTCAAAACATGTAACAGTGAACGGGAAACGCGCCCTCAAGTGGCCAGTCCAGGGCACCACAACCAGACACTGTGATAGCAGCAATCTAGCAGCAGCGTAGCACATCTATTCCGCCAAGACCACTTTCATCTTTATCATCATTGTATCATTTTGTTTTTAATTGTGTTAATGTTATTTTTATACTGTTATCAGGGTCTCAGCATCACACACCAGCCTCATACCCTCAACCAGTTTCTAACCATCCAGGTACAACACACACACGCACATACCTGCATTTGTGGTTTACGGGGACTCCCCATAGGCGTAATGGTTTTTATACTGTACAAACTGTATTTTCTATCGCCCTACACCAACCCTACACCTAAACCTACCCCTTACAGAAAACTACTGGCAATTTTTGAATTTCATAAAACACCGTTTTGTATGTTTGTTAAGCCTTTTGTTTTACGGGGACACAGGAAGTGTCCTCATAAACCATGTTTACGTTGTAGTACCCATGTCATTATACACATTTGTGTCCTCATAAACCATATATACCAGTACATACACATTTACATAAACCACACTCTGTATTAAATTAGTGTGTCATTTGTTTGTGCACTGCAGGCCCAGAGTTCTGGTGCTCAATCTCTTACTTCGAGATGGATGTGCAGGTCGGGGAGATGTTTAAAGTTCTAGCCAACTGTCCTGTGGTGACAGTGGATGGATATGTGGACCCTTCAGGCGGGGACCGCTTTTGTTTGGGTCAGCTTAGCAATGTTCATCGAACTGATGCCAGCGAGAGGGCACGGTCAGTGTGCATTCAACATAATACTTATACACATTCATTCATCGCTGGAGATTCAAGCTTTTGAACACCTGACATCTGCCCAACAGGCTTCACATTGGTAAAGGTGTTCAGCTGGAGTGCCGTGGGGAGGGGGACGTGTGGATGCGTTGCCTTAGTGACCATGCTGTATTCGTGCAAAGTTACTACCTGGACAGAGAGGCAGGGAGAGCGCCAGGGGATGCCGTTCACAAGATCTACCCAGGAGCCCTCATTAAGGTACACCTTTAATGGCATCACTCTTTAGCACTGCTTTCTTCATCAGACGTCAAAACCAGGGGAACAACTTTGGGCCAGACAAATCTTTTTGAAATTGTTCCAGAAAGCAAGCATAATCAGTAAAGTTAAGCATAAAGTTGTAAACAAGGACTGAAATATCTGGATCAGTAAGTGTTTGTGAACTAAGAGCAGTTTGTTCCCCTTAGGTGTTTGATCTTCGTCAGTGTCACAGGCAGATGCAGCAGCAAGCGGCGACTGCGCAGGCAGCTGCGGCTGCACAGGCTGCAGCAGTGGCTGGGAACATCCCGGGGCCTGGCAGTGTTGGAGGAATCGCTCCAGCCATCAGTGAGTTGCTGGACCCAAAAACACTGATTTTCCAGTTAAATGTGATCACTATTTGAACAATATTGTTAACTTTTCCTAAAACCCCAAGACTGTTTTGTTTACTCTGTGGTGCCAGTCTTTCCTGAACTACTTTTCATCTGCAGTGCACTGAATATAAATCCCCACAGCAAAACAAGTAATTTACCCAATTTTGTAGTCTGAATTGAAGGTGATGTGATGAAAAACATGTGTACAGCATAATAATGCCAATGCAGTTCATTTAGAGAATCAAAAATATACAGCATGACCAGTGTATTTTGATTCATGAACAAATTACTCTTATGAATTGGTTCTTTTCAGTGAATAAAAAACATACAGCGCGACCAGAGTAGTTGGATTCATGAACAAATTATACTTATGAACTAGTTCTATTTAGTGAATCAAAAACGTACAATGCCAGTGTAGTTTGATTCATGAACAAATTACTTTTTAGAAGTAGTCCTTTTAACAAATGATTTAAAAGACTCATACTCCTCTATTAATTAAATAGCAATTAAACTGCATAGTTTGGATTCTGTTGATAATTATCTAAATTAATATTTTTGTATTTCGTATATTTTGTATTTTGTATTTGTACCAAACTGTAAGGTTACAATGTATTACTGAGAAATAATTTTTATGTCAGCAAAATTAGCACTATAATGGAAATATTCCCAAATGAATCTGAATCGAATCATGAGCTAGTGAATCAGAATCCAGCCCTAATCTTAAAATAGTGCCTTTTAAAATTGTAATTGCGTCCTGTAATACACAACACTCTCTTCTTCATACATTTTCACAGGTCTGTCGGCGGCAGCCGGAATAGGTGTTGATGACCTGAGACGTTTGTGTATCCTGCGGCTGAGTTTTGTAAAAGGCTGGGGACCCGACTACCCTCGACAGACCATCAAACAGACACCGTGCTGGGTGGAAGTTCATCTACACCGTGCCCTGCAGCTGTTGGACGAGGTCCTGCACACCATGCCCCTCGCTGACCCCGGACCTGCCAACTGACCCACAGACTGCAAAATAGACAAGCCCTGTCACAAAACAGGGAGGACGACAGACAGAGAGAAAGAGAGACACACACCTGCACAGGCAAACAGTGACTCATAGTACCACATACACACATAAGCCTTCACACACACTGTCTTTCCACAGCCTTGGCCAGCAAAGTGCCTCTGAAGTGACCAGTGTTTAGTCCACTCTTGGGTGCTGTTGACCTGGTTGTCATGGTAACACAGACCAAAGGCACTGCTGATGAGTTCACACTAATGGAGGTCCAGAAGAGGTGAAAGTAAGTTGGTTAAGAGGGAGAGAAAGATTCATATGATAACACGATTAATATGCTTAATGCTCAGAGACCCAGGAATGGATATTAATTATATTTTTAACCCTTTAACATGTCTGTAGAAAGCCAGTAGTTATAAAGACTATTTTGTTAAGGCAAAATTTACATAAAGGTATAATTTAAAACAAAATGTTGCAAAAAAGGAACACTGGGCATTTAGAGTTGTAAAATTTCACTATTTTTCAAATCACTAAATGAAAGTTTTGAATTGACAACACAATTTAGCACACAAATGTTTTTGAAAAACAATATATATCAACCAGTCAACCAGTAAGGTTAAGAAGTAATAAATATTCATATTAAAGTGTATGCAAAGTGCAGTTATGTGTGTGTGTGTGTGTGTGTGTGTGTGTTATTTAATTGCTTTATACAAACATTGTAGTTCTGCTGGGTCTCTGAGGGTTAAAGCTCTGACTCAATCTGATGTATCATAGTTCTTAAAGGGTCCGCTGATTTGAATGCTGAGTGCAGGCAGGATGTCCAGGAATAAATGCATTTATAAACGGCAGGACAGAAAATGTGCTGTATTCTACAGGCAGTATATTTTATCTAAAAAATATTGAAATGAGACCAAAGACTTAATGAAATGAGATAAAAGAATCTGCAGTTTTATGATATTCGACTTATGAATACCATAATAGTTTATAATTCATTGATACAGAGATACAAGTTTTGTTAACAGTGGGATTTTTGTCTGCTAGGCTATACATGAGAGAGCTATTAAACAGTGCTGAACTATGTGCCAAACCAGTCTGACACTTCATACATGCAGAAAAGCCTTTATAAACCATGACACTGATACAGGAGTATGGACACCTAGTGGTTCTTTCAAGTATTGCATTCACTCATATACAGCTTTGCATTTTGTGTTACCTGACTGACGTTTAAGCTTTATTACAAACTGTATTTAATTCAAGGATTCTGTGAGAGGATATTCTGAATATATTCATGACAAAAGGGAGTTAGGCAGGACACCTCCAAGAGATGGGTTTCCTAAATTATTTTTGCCAAATTCCTTTTGCTATTGTAGGATGTGTGTTCCAGGACCCTTATCCAGCGCTGCTTCAGCCGTGACTATATACAGAATACAGCATGCACTCGAGTGCCTTATTGCTTCCATAAAACCATCACTACAAAATAAAAATACTAATATCCTAAATTCATAATGCAGCATTCATCCGCTAGAAGATATATGACATTTGGCATAACATACTAACAACAATCACAGATAGCAACTTTCTTGGTACTTATATCACCCTTTTGGCCTCATGTGAGAGCAAAGGGTCCATAGGTTGGGAATTACCTAACTTTTTTGTCAGCCGAACCCCTTTGACCTTACATATTTACTTGAAGTATACCCTCTGAGATTTTAAGTTAATATTTCAATTATTTAAGAACACGTTTGCATGTTCACAGTTTTCTGTTAACAGTTAATTGTCACATGGCATGCAAATAAACAAATAAAATATGTAACCATTTTCAGTGAGTTATTTGGATTATTTTGATTTTAAAATTATTTTAATTTTACAATTTTAGGATTTTATTCATTATTACCTCTTCGTGAAGCCCCTGCAGTTTTCTCATTCGTATCATTCTGCAACTGTATCATGAATAGGGCTATTCCATTTTTGGACATCCTTTTTATTTAACATAATGCTTTTTGCATAGGGAAGTATTCATATCCAAATAGGCTATGTGTTTTCTCATTTCTAATTGCATGTAATCTTTTAAAAAATACAATGTAATTATATTAAATGCAAAGTAGATGTAGCTGTTACAACAACAAAAAAACAAATTTTCAGTAGGATCATGAGTATTTGTTGCAATTTATTAATTTTCGCCGGATATGAAATTGCTGGCAAATACAGGAGTGTACGGTGTTGGGATGCTGTCAATAAATTGGTGGGCGGTACTTACGGTCAGACTCTCAATCCGACGCAGTGCATCCTTCAGCGCGCAGCATCCGACAACGGCCTGGACCGAGGACACGAGGACACCGCGTACCGTAGAGATGTAGCCATGAATCATCCACATTATATCAGCTAAACGAAGGACCGTCGACATTTATTGTTTATTCCACGGCCGTTATCCGGATCGCAGCGCGCCCAGCCCGCAAAATGGCTGAGATCAGTGAAATACGCGCGGCGTACGGTGAGTAACGTTAGATAGCGCAGGCCTGAGCCTTCCCGACACGCCTGAGATATGAATGTTACGCATTATGAATACATTTGACCTGGTTAAGATAGCACTTATTTATGATGTGAGATTTTGGACAGCACTTGTTGAGCTTCTTAAATCAAGATTACAACCACCATCAGTATAGGCTGTTGTTCAGTCATGCAATGATTCGTTAAATTGTGAGTGTTTGTGAACGTCGCCATGTTGCAAAAGTGTTTTAATGGAGAGATGGGAGCAGGGATGACGTGATGTCTATTCCGGACTGGACCCGAAGGCTCTTTGTTTGTTAATAACGCGCCGCTGAGATTACAGCCTCCACCCATGTGTCCTCACAATCACCAGCCATACTATAGGGGCTAGTTGTCACACGGGGAATATATTACAATAGCTCCATCTAAGTAACTATAAGGCTTGAGTCAAAAGCACAGTTATGCAAATTTGTGAGGTTCTCTGTGCTCGTTTCAATCATTCATTTCAATCAAATGAAATCAAAATGTCATTCATTCTTTTACACACCCTTATGTCCCATAGCGTTTCATTTGTATTGAAAATAAAACTTTTTTTTTTTTTAAATCTTTTGCTGTTCTTTGACAGGTGCCATTTAGGGAAGTGGTTCTCAACCTCTTAGGCTCCAAGACCTCCGTTTTCTGCAGCAATATTTAGAGACACCATGTTTTTTCCAGCCTTTCATGATTTACAGTATAAGTATTAAGGGCAAAGAGTTTTCAAAAGTATAGTATGTTGTACTTTACCCACAATATTTACCCAAATATAATATCTTAGAGTTTGACACAGTTTTCGAAAAATGTATATTCCTTATTTTAAAAAGAAATTCCTTATTTTAAAAGGATTTCATAAGACTTTTTGTTTATTCTCAGAATTATACAAAATTGATTTCCTCTCTACTACGCCTGAAATAAGACACATTTTTGAGAACAATTTTAGTAGAGAAGATGAATACTGAGTATGTTGTTCTCTGTGTTATATGTTTCACTTTAATTACTAAACTGATATGAAAATCATTATCTTTAAGGAAATGTAATTTTTAGGGCTAATGTAAAGGAATAACTGTGTCGTGTCTGAGGGTGTGGGATAACGTGACAGAAGGAGTGTCCTCGGATCTGATGCCAGCACCAGCTGGCACCACAGTGCCCACCTCCATCTGGCATGAGCCTCCGAGAGACATTTACGCTCCAGACACAGCTTCTTTGCCCACTCTCACTGTGGCCTGTACATGTATTCAAAGAGCAGGCACCGTGTGCTTTGGATGATGTGCAGAGTCATAGGATCCTGTAGGACAATATTGAGTGTAGAAAACAATTTCTTCGCCAACTTTTTTTTTACAGTATCCTAAATTCATAATGCAGCATTCATCCGCTAGAAGATATATGACATTTGGCATAACATACTAACAACAATCACAGATAGCAACTTTCTTGGTACTTATATCACCCTTTTGGCCTCATGTGAGAGCAAAGGGTCCATAGGTTGGGAATTACCTAACTTTTTTGTCAGCCGAACCCCTTTGACCTTACATATTTACTTGAAGTATACCCTCTGAGATTTTAAGTTAATATTTCAATTATTTAAGAACACGTTTGCATGTTCACAGTTTTCTGTTAACAGTTAATTGTCACATGGCATGCAAATAAACAAATAAAATATGTAACCATTTTCAGTGAGTTATTTGGATTATTTTGATTTTAAAATTATTTTAATTTTACAATTTTAGGATTTTATTCATTATTACCTCTTCGTGAAGCCCCTGCAGTTTTCTCATTCGTATCATTCTGCAACTGTATCATGAATAGGGCTATTCCATTTTTGGACATCCTTTTTATTTAACATAATGCTTTTTGCATAGGGAAGTATTCATATCCAAATAGGCTATGTGTTTTCTCATTTCTAATTGCATGTAATCTTTAAGGAATAACTGTGTCGTGTCTGAGGGTGTGGGATAACGTGACAGAAGGAGTGTCCTCGGATCTGATGCCAGCACCAGCTGGCACCACAGTGCCCACCTCCATCTGGCATGAGCCTCCGAGAGACATTTACGCTCCAGACACAGCTTCTTTGCCCACTCTCACTGTGGCCTGTACATGTATTCAAAGAGCAGGCACCGTGTGCTTTGGATGATGTGCAGAGTCATAGGATCCTGTAGGACAATATTGAGTGTAGAAAACAATTTCTTCGCCAACTTTTTTTTTACAGTGGTGGATCTTGTCTTGTTTGAGATACAACCAGCTAATCTGTGATTAATTTTTAGTTAATTAAAATGCTTTGGGAAACAGCTCAAAATGTCAAATCTAAGGCTTTTTTACTTAACATTTATATTTTGAGGTCAGCGTGAAATGGAAATTCACCCTAGCTATTTTCTTAGCGCAACTTAATAATATTGTGAACAATTTGTTCATTCTTGTTACATTTTTTTTATCTCATAATTTAAAAAAAAAAAGATTCAGTCATAACTGTATCTTCCTGTGAATCAACAGATTTCTCTCTGTTGATTTTTGCCCGACTTCTCCAATCATTTAGTCAGCTTTTTCGTCAATAGACTGCAAGCATGATTCAGATTTGATATGATTACAGTGGTGGATCTTGTCTTGTTTGAGATACAACCAGCTAATCTGTGATTAATTTTTAGTTAATTAAAATGCTTTGGGAAACAGCTCAAAATGTCAAATCTAAGACTTTTTTACTTAACATTTATATTTTGAGGTCAGCGTGAAATGGAAATTCACCCTAGCTATTTTCTTAGCGCAACTTAATAATATTGTGAACAATTTGTTCATTCTTGTTACATTTTTTTTATCTCATAATTAAAAAAAAAAAAGATTCAGTCATAACTGTATCTTCCTGTGAATCAACAGATTTCTCTCTGTTGATTTTTGCCCGACTTCTCCAATCATTTAGTCAGCTTTTTCGCCAATAGACTGCAAGCATGATTCAGATTTGCCTCCATCCAATGAACAACCAAAGCACTGAACCAAGTCTCGCCCTACATTTTTATCTTTTCGATAATCCGTTTGACTTGAATGTACGTCACAATATGTAAAAAAATTAATAAATATCTGCCGCCACTTCCATTACATCACACCTTTAAATAGGACAAGATGGAGGTTTTTCTAGATGGTTTTGCTGCATCATTCTGATATGACGTATGCACACTGAGACCACAGTGCTGGAATAACTGGCAGTACTAATTTCTGTCAGTGTTGGTAAATTAATGTCTTGAATTGATTACACTGCAGTAGACAGTACTGTGTATTGCCTTTTTCTGGTATGGGAAAGTCAGAGCAGCAAACATCATTTAACTCATCTTCCTCAGCCACAGACAGTAACTTAGCAGATTCTTTTCTGAAGGATCTTACAGTCCACTAATTGTCTTCCTCAAGGGCATAACATTGATAGGGCTCTTTTAGCAACCCTCACATGTTTCTCTTTCCTGCAATATTTTAACTAGCAATGAGATAATCATTTAGCTACCAACACCCTAGACATATGTATCTCTGGTTTTTGATATTTGATCACTCTACCGTGTCCACAGTCTAGACAAACCTGTCAGGGCTCTAAAGGGATGTTATTTTGATTTATGTCCTGAGAAATACTGAGTATGCCAAGAATTCAGTCATTGAGATGTCACTGAGAGGTTAGAGGCTTTGGTACTGTCAGTACATTGATTAAAAACTCAAGCAAAACCGTGTACATGTGTGCGTGAGGTGGGTGTCTATACTCTGTTTGCGTGTGCTTTTGGTTCATATTATGTGTCTATGCCCCATGGGATGTTTCCAGGTAATTGGAGCAGCTGTTTTTTCGGAGCCTGCCAAGTCTTGCATCATCTAGCAGCAAGTGGGGTGAGGGTCTTTGAGTGGGGTTGGGTGAGAGTGATGGAGCAAAGAACAACAGACTGGGTGGAGCACTGGCAAATATCTTTTTCTGTCCTGCCTCACGCTGTTCATTTTGGCTGTAGCTCCATCATGCTGTTCTTTCTGGGCTGTGATGAATAGAATGTTCTACTTATTTGATTTTTTGCTGCCTTCTCTTCTCTTCTTTTCTGAATCTTTGTCTTCATTCATCACAAAACTGCCACTTAGGCATCCAGTAAAAACTGCTGACCTCACATCTGATCTCATAAGTTAGATCACTTTGACCTTGTAAAATTGTATTGTGGTGTGGATAGGGTGATCAGCATCAAGATTCATTGTTAAGCAAGTCATGTTTGTGCAGCTCATCTTACAAAGGACATATATCACAAACACTCTCCCAGAGAGTGTTTCCGTTATCTAAGTCTTAATTTATGTCACTATCCTGACAACACAAGGACAGAAAGCTTAAAGCTGCAGTCCATAACTTTTTTTGGTTAAAAATGATCCGAAATCAATATTTGAGCAAGTACGTAACCAGCCAGTGTTCAAAACTATCACCTTACTTTAGCCCGATTCACAACGGTTATCTTATAATGTTTTCTAATTTGAGTTGTACGGATAGGTTTTCGCGGGAAATTCGAGCATGGCACTGCATAAAGAAGTTGTCCAGGCTACTAGGCTATCGCATGTGAGGATCCAGCAGGTGGCCGATCATTTATAGCCTTTTCTCACAGCAGCTGGAATAATTAAATTGATCATTTTGATGGCGGATTGTAATCCAGAAAGGATTATGCGTTTATGAAAGACATGGGAATGAAATTAAATTATATTCTAGTTTTAAATGTGCTTCTAATTACAGAAAGCTGTATATTAGGGCTGTGCGATTAATCAAAATCGTCATAAAATCACGATTTGAGCTTGAGCGATTTCTAAATCGCTTTATAGCACGATTTTCCAATCAGAATGCACGATAACAGAACAGACCGGGCGGGCATACAAATGTAAAGCCAGGTTCACACACTCCGTCTTGTGGAGCGTATTGTTTCCGCGCTCATGTTAACGGATCAGAGCGTTCACCCTGCATGCGATTGCGGTCCGGCAGTGCGCTCTAGGAGCGGTGCGTCTGCAGCAGTCATGCATGCTGCAATCGTTTCCGCACGGAGTCTATTTCTACTGTGCTGCACGCGCTGAATTAAAGTGACAGCGCATTATTCACGGTAAAAATTAACATGGATTGACACGGAAATTTAGTAATTACACCATAAATGCATATAATTAAAGTCTACTGTTTCACAGTCAACACATGGATTTTTGGCTAGATTTAAAACAAGGAAAAGTACACTTTTAGATAAACAAGGCAATAATAGATGGCACTCGTGGTGGTAGTTAAACAAAGTTATATTTGTTGAGTTTAAATGTGAATATGTCTATGAAAGATTGTATTACTGTACTGTGATAAAAGAGAATCACAATGCTGAAAAAGCATTTTCAGAAACAACGTTTGGATTTGAAATCAAAATATTGGATAAATGTTGTGTTTGTGGTAAACAGCCGCGGATCAGGAGCGGACTGCAAACGCGTCCTGTGCGAAAGCAAAATGAGTCCGTGCTGCTTCTGCACCGCATACACATACTGTATACGCACTGCAGACGGAGTACGTGTGAACTTGGCGCTACAAATCTAGTTCAACATCTGAGGCAATGCCACAAAGAGCTCTATGACAAATGCATGGCAAAAAAAATCCCTGGACACAGGATTTATTTTTTCTGCCATGTCTATTTTAGAGACATTTTGTTACACCTTTACTTAGTGATTATTTTGCCTTATGTCTGTTCTAGAGACATGTTACAGCTTTTTGATAAAGCTCTAATTGGTTTTCTTTTGGAAATATGTTTCAAATTCACACTGAATGCATTAATGACTGTAAAGCATGTCTGTGTGTGTCAAAATCGTGATTAAAATCGAAATCACAAAATGTATCAAAGAAATCGTGATAGTTTTTTTTTTGTCCATATCGCACAGCCCTACTTCTGGTAACAGATAGCCTGGGATTACACAAGATTTGTATTTTAAAGACAACCAGTTCGAAGGGAGCATAATTTGCTTTTTGGGTTAAAAGAATTTCTTAATATGAAATTCGAACGGTATGACAATTAGAGGTTAGACTGTACAGAAATTGAAATCTACACGCTAATATACACTATAGGCAATGCTGATGTTGTTAACATTAATAATTTGAAAATAAAGTATAACAATAATAATCATTTGCACGGTTTGATGTGATATGAGCTAACCGATCTTTAGATTAAATCGCCATTGATAGCTCGATTCTTTGTAATTTTTTTTCCCCTCAGTTGGTCAGAACAAACGTGGCAGACTTGTTACTTACTTGTTCAGATGACAAAATATGGTGAAAATTCTTATTTTGGGTCATATATTCCAAGACTAGGCTAGTGATTGCGAACTACAGTAAATATCCACACCGGTGCGGTGACTGACTGCCACACATACTCCTCAAAACATTAGATTCATCCATGCTGACTCACAACTAGGCATGGGCCGGTATGAGATTCTGACAGTATGATAACCTTGGATAAAAATATCACGGTATTGCAATTACAGCTCTAAAATATGTTATTTTTAAATGTCTGGGTAAAAAAAATTTTTTTTCCCACTGAACACATTTTATTTTTAAGAAACATCTAGAACATTTTGGAACAGTAAACATGTCAGGCTAAATAATTAGAATAAATAATTAAATTCTTCTTAATTAAATGCAGTCACTTAAGTGAGCCTAAACCTGCAGCTCAATAATCAAAAATATAATCAAATCATAATTTCTGTAAAAAACAAACAAAAAAAAATTAATAAAAAAATGCAGTCATTAAACCTGCAGCTCAACAAGGTTTTTGGAAACATGCTCACTTTCTACACATTCAGTTCAATCTTTCAGTCCAAGTTATAATGCAGGAATGCTCACCTTTCCGGGATTAAGTTTGGAGAGGTACGAGGATGTGTGCACATACACACATAAGGAAAGAGAGAGTGCGAGTGCGAGTGTCTCACACACACACACACACACGGTCTCTCCATACAACAATGTCTTTTTTAAATGTTGTGATTTTGAACAGATGTAAACAATGGCAGGAGGCTTAAAAGTATAGACGTGATACCAGCTAAATTTAATTATTGTACTAAATCGCAGACAAGTACAGTACGTACTTTAGACTGCTATTCCTCACTCTGTGAAGTAACGTGAGGGAGGAAACTAGTTGACGTTAGCTAGTTAATTAGCCATGTTATCTGCCTCGGTAGCAAGCCAAATAGTATTTCAACACTGAAACAAACAGCGGGTGGGTCTCTGTCTTGATCGGGGGTGAAAGAGGGAGAAATGAAGATGACACAGATATAGTTTATGTTCGACCTGGAAGTATTTATTTAGCGATCGGAGCTAAAAAGTCATCTGTATGGAGCACCGTTGTGTACGAAACATGGTTAGTCTACGTTACCCAAAAAATTCCCATACGACAGACTTAGTCTTTTTCGACGGGGGGTTCCAGGGACTCATCTCCTTCGGCCATCCCACACACAGGTGACTCTCACTGACTGCTCGCAGGAACGGTATAACGGGACATTTTTGTGGTTTTGAAACCGTGACTTTTCCAAACCGCGTATACCCTGAAACAGGTTATCGTCCCATGCCTACTCACAACCCACGCAAGGAAGATTGCAACCCACAGCTGCAATTGCAGGTTTTCAAACAGAGATGGCGACAAAGAGGCAAAACTTACGGACTGCAGCTTTAAGTAAATAAACTGTCTTTCAGCCTTTTATCATTGACTGTACATGCAATTATTATTATTTATTTAATATCAAAAAGTTTCAGGTCGGTAGAAAGAAATCTCTTATGTCCACCAAAACTGCATTTATTTAATCAAAAATAGTATACAGTAAAAACAATAAAAATGTTGGGGGGGGGGATCATTCCTGTGATGGCAAAGCTAAAGTTTTAGCAGCAATTACTCCAGTCTTCAGTGTCATGTGAGCATTCAGAAATCATTATAATATGCTGATTTGGTGCTCAAGAAACATTACTTATTATCAATATTGAAAACAGTTGAAGACTGCTTTATATTTTTGTGGAAACCTTGATACATTTTTTTTTCAGGACTCTTTGATGAATAGAGAGTATTTATCATTTTATATATATTATACATAATAATATTATAATATTTAAAATATATCAAATATTATACAATATAAAATACAATATATCAAATATTATATTATAATTATGTATATGTTGTATATACATTTATATAGACATATTTTGTAACAGTATAAATGTCTTTACTGTCACTTTTGACGAATTTAATGAGTCCATGCTGAATAGAAGTATTTATTTCTTTGAATAAATAAAAAAAAATGGGAAAAAAAATGTATCTAGCTTTTTTTATTTCTCAATGGACAAATTCTGTTCTTTACCGCATTTGAGGCAGCATACTTGTTCCAAAAAGATGTCTTTAAGTAACATTCGTGATGTAACATACCATTAAATGCATTTACACCCAAATGACAATAGCAAATACTCTGATACAGCTTTTACACAGAACCAAGTGTAAATACACATAGACAAGAATTTTCAATATTTCATAGCTGTGTTGCTGTAGCGTGAGACCGGATGCAGTCGTCGCTGTGTGGGATGACTGTGTTCCTCTGCATGTGCGGGTGGAGTGGGCATGAAGTAGATATAGAGCGAGTCTACTGTGAGTTTGTCAGTGTCTGCATGTTCCGAGCTTTTGTGCTTTAACCAAAAGCTTTAACAAGACTTATTTATTCTTTACGATTTAACCTTGTGAACATCTTCAGGTATGAATATGCTGTGGGTGAATGTAGATGGATGCGACTGAGTTGTTCAGCAGTCAGTTTACTCTTCTGTCTCTGTTTTCCTCTTTTAGATATGTCCCCAGTGCTGGCGGGGTTTATCGGTGCTGGTGTGTTGGTCGTTGCAGTCATTGCATTAATCTTTGTGTGGACTTGCTGTCAGAAACATTACAACAGGACAAACTACAAGCTCCATGGAATCCAATCGGAACAAAGTGATCCTCTCACAGACCCACCGTACAGGTTTATTCACATGCTGAAAGGAATGAGCATCTACCCCGACGCGCTTACCAGCAGCAAGAAGATCATACGAGTAGCACGCCAGGCCAGATCCCAGACCACCGACGGGGCTCAAAGCAACAAGGGTCGCCCAGTGGTGCTGGTAGATATGGATTCGGCAGCAGAAAGTGGCCTGCTGGGAGAGAAACAAATGCAGATGAGGCTCGGGGAAAGTGGCCATGAGGTTCCCAAGCTGGAGAGGGAACTTCCTGTGCATGCAGATTACTGCTGTCTGGACAGCAGCTCTGCCAGCAGCAGTCAGACCTCCAGTACTACGGTTTCCAGCACAGCTACACCCTTCACCCCCGCAGAAGAGCCCAGCCGAGGAGATCTCAGCATCGCAATCGATTATAACTTCCCTAAGAAGGCCTTGGTGGTCACCATCCTGGAGGCTCGGGGGTTACCGGCCGTAGAAGGCAATGCGGGCAGTGCCGACCCTTATGTGAAGATGACCATTCTCCCCGAGAAGAAACATCGTGTTAAGACTCGGGTCCTGAGGAAGACTCTGGAACCTGCGTTTGATGAGACCTTCACATTTTATGGTGTGCCGTACAGCTCCCTGTCGGATCTCACTCTGCACTTCCTGGTGCTGAGCTTTGACCGGTTCTCACGAGACGATGTGATCGGGGAGGCGATGGTTCCGCTGGCAGGTGTGGATCCGAGTACAGGCCGGGTCCATATTACGCAACAGATCACAAAGAGAAGTATGCAGGTGAGAAAGAGCATAACACCAAAAAAAACACATATGAGCCAAAACTCAGTCTATCCTATAGTACAGTGGTTCTCAAACTTTTTACAGCGGCATACCCCCTGGGGCATTTAACATTCTTCTGCATACCCCCGCTCTTCCACTTAGACCGCAGTCACACCTTTTCTATTAAAGGACAATTTGCCCCCTTAAATTGATATACAGGTGCATTTTTTTACCTTTATAGAGGCAAATATTTTCTATCCTTATTAATTGTATGTCATGTTTTATGTCATATTCTTAACATTCCATTAAGTGTATTATTAATATAATAAATAAAGCAATTGTGCTACTTGTAGATTTAAAAATAAAACCACCAATAGGTGGCGGCAAGTCGCTGTCTTAATGAGCCAGGCATCGTGTCATTCATTCATTCAGTAAAGAAGCAAAATGCTGTAGTTATGAATGGGTTTAATCACTGACTCTCCAAATCGTTCAAAGCCGCAGATTCGTTCATTAATGAATACGTCTAATCGACGTGCAAATCCGGTACGGTATCTGGACGTCTGGCTACGACGTCCCTTGGACGTAGATATGCAGTTCAAAATTTGAAAGTTTTTTTGAACGTCTGTACAACATACAGAACAGATTCAGGAAATCAATGTAAGAACTTTTTATACAAATAAACATTTAAAATGTAAAATGTTCACTTAATATTACCTTTTTTAGTTGAACTGTTGTAAAAATTAATGGCACATTTGCCATCGTTTGGATATTCAGGGAAATTTGCATTCTTGCTCGCATCTTAAACATGAAAACAATAACACGCACAGTGAGTCTGTATCAAAGAGAGTTAAAATCGATCTCAGTCCGTGTCAATATTTGCTCTTCATGCTATTAAGTGAAGATCTACTTTAAAGATACATTGAACAGCAGCGCGATTTGCTAAAGAAGCATATTGCTTGTGTGGATGCAGTCAATTTTGACTGCAAAAGATGAGGTAAGCTGATTGGATATCATGTATTTGACTGTTTAGTTACGGCACTCCCATTTTCCTGTTTTTACATTAGAAACGGCATTTTGCTTGTCAGAAATACATTCGGTTTTAATGTTACTTTTAAGTTGGGGTAGAATTAAATGAATGCCAAAACTCGTCATCTCACATACCCCAGTTTGAGAACCACTGCTATAGTACATTGTTCAAATTCAAAAATGTTTGACTATATTGTATAGCACAATGCAGTGCATTATATACATGCAGCATGAAAAATTAAGATCAAAAAGCAAGAATAAGAATTTTTTTTTTATTTTTTTATTTATAATCAGTGTTGGGAAAAGTTACTTTAAAAGTAATGCATTACAATATTGTGTTATTCCCTAAAGAAGTAACTAATTACTGTTACTGCCTCATCCTCCTACTGCAGTTTGTAGTCATTGATAAATGTGCTTATCCTCCTGCTCACTGAGTGGGTTTAGATGACGCGTAGACAATCCAGTTGGCACGTGCATGAAAGCCTCCTCGTGCCTCCACACAGAACCTAAGCTGCGAAGATAAACAGAAAACAAGTTTTTAACAAGTCATCAGCCCACTCAGTTTGTACTTATTTTTAATGCATCTGATCAGTTCCTTTGCCAATACACCATGTGCTGAAGAGCATTCTCTATCGCATCACTTACCTGCTTAAGCTGCGTTCACACTAGCAGCGACTTTGTCAAACATTTTGGAGGCAAAAGACTAAATATAATATAAATATGAATTAAATCCGTACATACAAACAAAAATGAATGAGAAACAGAGCCTACTCTTTTGCCATTGCGTATGTTTATCTATGACTGAGAGGAGAACGATCACATGAGCTCTTCTTTCCTATTGGTTGTCGCTCCCGAAAGTTGCCCTTCATTTGCATAAAGTGGAAGGATTCTAAACTTTGTCGCGTCGCTGGACAGGTTACTTGTAGTGTGAACGGGGCTTTATGCTGCAGTTCTTCCAGTGCTGTTGAGGTGCTTAGTGAACCTAGGGATATTCTTACATGTATTGTAATGTTGATTCAAGCCAAAGAGGTCTATTCAATAATTATATTGTCTTAAATACTTGAACTTGTTGTCTTTTTAAACTTTTGTGTCTGTGTATTTGAATTTCTGCAGTGTGTGAGCCGTGGAGAGCTGCTGGTCTCTCTTTCCTATCAGCCTGTTTCTCACAGACTGAGTGTGGTGGTGTTAAAAGCAAAACACCTTCCAAAATTGGACATCACTGGCCTATCTGGAAGTAAGTGTACATTTAAATGATTTTTTATTTTTTTTATAACACTTGTTTAAAAGTTTTGGGGTCAGTATTATTTTTTTATGTTTTTAAAGAAGTCTCTTATGCTCACCAAAGCTGCATTTATTTGATCAAAAAATAGGTAAATCAGTAATTTTATGAAATACTATTGCAGTTTTCTATTTGAATATATTTTAAAATGTAATTTATTCCTGTGTTGGTAAAGCTATACCAGAGCTATTACTCCTGTCTAATATGCTAATCCAGTGTTTAAGATACATTTCTTATTATTATCAATATTGAAAACATTTGTGCTTCTTAATATTTTTGTGGAAACGGTGATACATTTTTTTCAGGATTTTTGATTAATAGAAAGTTCAAAATAACTGCATTTTTTTAAAAATAATTTATTTGTAACATAAATGTCTTTATCGTCGTATTTTGATTAAATTGCTGAATTAAAAGTACTGATATTTAAAAAAACAAAAAATGACAGACCCTACAAAAGAAACTTTTTGACAGTCAAATATACACAGTGTATATTTAACAAATTACATTTAAAAAAAAAAAAAACATTAAATTGATGTAAAATTACAATATTTTTAAAAATAGATTTTTTATATCTCACCTAAATATCTAATCTAATGACTCATTTTGTGTCCCAGATCCGTATGTGAAGTTGAATGTGTTCTACGGCCACAAGCGCATTGCCAAGAAGAAAACGCATGTGAAGAAATGCACGCTCAATCCAGTCTTTAATGAATCCTTTATCTATGACGTGCCGGCCGAGTTGCTGCCAGACATCTCTATTGAGTTCCTGGTCATGGACTTTGACCGCACTACTAAAAACCAGGCCTTGGGACGCCTGGTTCTCGGTGCAAACAGCCCCTGCCCCTCGGGAGCCGCCCACTGGCAGGAGGTCTGCCAAAACCCACGGCGCCAAATCTCAAAGTGGCACACGCTCAATGAATATTAGAGCTTCACCACAATCTCTCTCCGCACACACGCTCAAACACAGGCACACAGGAAACATTTAATAATGAGAGAGAGAGAGTTCTGGGAAAAGATGCCTTTTTGTTACCGTCACTACATTGAAGGTAACTGATTATCAGGAGGACTTGTAAAAAAAAAAAAACAAGACTTAAGCCAACTTTTACGTCACTGCTAATGCGATGATGGGCCTCAGAAATGAATCTTTTTAAAGTACACATTTACTTTCTCACTCAGTTGCCCACATATAAACACACATATACACATACACACCGCCTCAACACAAACATACATGAGAAATAATAAACAAGACCAAAATAACAAAAAAAACATATTGACTGTTAGGAATTTATGAGGTTTGGGATTCTGTAACTGTCCTAATAAAACATAACGCATGTCTTGACGCTCCATATTTCACTCCAGAACAGGACATTGTGTGGATTTGTGATGCTGGCGCACATTAAGCAGGTTATTTTTTGAGGCATCTGATTTCCGGAAGTTTGTGAAAGGAGTTGTGATGAGCGTCTTCTGATATGTACTGATTCTCCACTGTATGAGAAATGCACTGAAGTGATACAGAGGTTGTATGATCTACGCTGAAGTATAAATTGATCTGTTATGCTTTGGCTGGAGATGTTTCGGAGATTCCTGCTGTGTCACATTCTCCACAGCTACATGTTGAGTCATGTGATTGTACAACAATAACCCTATTGGCAGCACTCTGGGCCTGATTTATTGCTTGTGCAATGATTTCATCATGCACTTTGAATAAATCTTGCCCTGAACAACTTAATCTGCACTGCTATGCTACAAACTCACTCTGAATGTCCCTGTCTATGAATTACATACATCAGAGCTTCACTTCACATAAAACAGTGGCTCACTGTTTCGTAGATTGTACTAGCCAATGTCATAAGATTGCCTTTTTAAAGTGGATTGGATTCACTTTCATTTTAAATCCTGTGTGATATAGAGATAGACAAAGAGGTGGGTTCGTAGTTTGGAGCTGGGAAGCTCTGGTATATTACGGGGTCGTTCTGAGCCCTCTGGTGTGATGTTTGGGAAATGGAAGGATATGTAGCGTTTTATCATTTGTAGTTCATAAAGTCAAGGGGAAGATGTTCATGTAATTCTATCAATAACAGTCTGTTCTTCTAGCATACCTCCTTCATCTCAGTTTCACTTTTTTGTCTTATACCACTTTGTCACATCTCTCTTTTATGATGAGAACCTGTAAAGTCATGGTTTGCCAGTGTGCCTGCCGATAGCCTGGGCCTTTATCTCTGATTGGTGCTCCTCACTGTTAATTTACCAAGCCTGAGGTCTGAATCTGGCATAGAGTGTACTGTGTTTCATATGGCGTTAGAATTAAGATTGGGAACCCAAAAAATACTGGAAACAAATTACGTTTATCTCCATTAACGATTCTCGCATGTGCAATTTTTGCTAACATTGTATTAAAAAATCCTGACAGTTTCCTGTTTTATAAATTTCCGACACAATTTATTCAGCAGTGACATAACACTGCTACTGAATTTACAGCGTGAAACATATAGTGAGCCCAGTGTACTCCAATTACAGAATAAATGGTTCATGATTCAGTCCTTGTATTGAAGCAAAACCATACAGTGTGACCAGTGTAGTATGATTCTCAAACAAATAATGAGTCTGATCTTTTTAATGAATCAAAAACATACAGCAAAATTTAGTGCGACTCCCAAAAACGACTCTAATTGGGCAGTTTTTACTGAATAAAAATCATTTAGCACAACCAGTATACTAGGATTCCTGAACAAATGAATCTAATGAGTCGGTTATTTTAAATGTATCGATACACAACACAACTACAGTACACACTCTTAAAAATAAGGTTCTTTATTGGCATTGATGGTTCCATGAAGAACCTTTAACATCCATGGAACCTTCCATTGCAGGAAGATGGAAATATTTTCTTTAGATCATTAAAATGATCTTTACATTAAGATTTTTTTTTCTTTTTAGAAATGTTCACTTGAAGGTTCTTTGGGGAACCAAAATTGGTTCTTATATTGCATTGCTGCAAAAAAAAAACTTTTGGAACCTTTATTTTTAAGTATATGACAACATGTAGTTACTGGTTGTGTAGTTTAAAAATACATATGTGTTTTGTATTTCATAAATATTAATAAAGAAAATCGGAACCAATACCTTTACATTATTCTAGATTTCCATCCCAAGCAGGAAATGTGGCCAAGATTCAGAAGTCCCAGCAGAGCAGGGACAATAACAGATCTGGGAAACACACAATGTCACTTCCTATACATATATCCATTTCTGATCAATTCCCCACAAATTGGCCTCTATTGGTCAGCGGGTTTTATGGCACATGGTTTGTCTATCATAGAGAAGTTAAGATTTTAAACTGTAATTCTGGATGGGAAAATGCCTCTTTCCATTCAAGCTTCTTACATGCTTAAGCCACACTCCCTGTATAAAAGTGCACCCTATCCACCCAGTAATGTCTTTCGTATAGAAGATACTTTCTGTGTGGGATTACTGGTATGACAAAATGGAAAGATATTAAAAGATTCAGTCCATGTGACAAACAACACACAGGAGAAAAAAAACACAATAGATTAAAAAAATCATATGTGACCTATACACACAATCACTTTGGTGTTCAAAAATTAATTGGCAGGAAAAATGTTGTATTAGTGCAAACTAAAAAAAAAATCTTGAGAATTTTTGACAAATACTGTACTGCTAAATGCTGTGAGATCTCTGCTAATGTTACACACCCACCTGTATGTTAGTGTTCTTAACACCCACTGAATGTGCAAAATAAACGTGATACACAATTGAATTCTCTCTCTAGTATATTTTCACTCCAAAATCTAAATATTTTCAAAATGTGCTTATGGGTCATAGAAAATTAAGAACCTTTGGAAAATCTAAATATGCCAATATTATAGTGTCTTAGTAAATGAATGGTATTAAACCTAAACCAAAGAAAATATCTGCGGTGCGAGCAGTTGTGTCAATTAAAATTAAATTTTTTATTTAGCAATTACTAAATTAACCATGAGGATTTCTTTTGTCTCACTCTTATATCACTGTTAAATTTATTGATAGTAAACAATTCTGATATTTAAACGTTATCAGACATGTTTGACTAAAAAATGAAATACAATAGCATCCTCTTTTGCTCCAGAAGCTTCATGGCAAGTCTGAGAAATTTCCCAGGCTCTATTTATCAAATGATTGTTTACATGCATTAAAAAACTCTGGTTTACTGAGTAATTTTTAAAGTTGAGAATTGAGGCAAATGGATATGAGACTACATGACTCTCCAAAGAGAGTCTTTGTGAAGGGTTTCAATTATGACTTGGCAACATGAGATGACCTTAATATACTTCATCTCCAATGAAAGACTTTGATTTTCATGGAAAAATCGGGTAGACCATGCTTCCTCATTCAATTTCTGAACCAGATCAGGAATGTTGATATAAAGGGAGCTCAACAACCCATTAAACTTTTGAACCGTGACAATAAAATTAAAACTGACTAGACATATAGGACTAGACTCTCTGTACACAGCAGACGTATTCATACATCACAAGTTTAAGCTACATTTAGGTTATATTCTTTGAGATTTGTTGTCAACTCTACTTGTCTATTGATTACAATAAAGATCTGGATTGATATATATTGTCCTTCCACAGATTTTAAAGAATAAAGATAATTCTGGTGTAAACGCGATACCCATGCAAGTCCTAAACTACTTTTCATCTGAAGCAATGCAATTAAGTCAAAGCGCATATGTGAGAAATGTCATATATGTGAGAAACAGACACAATCACACAGTCCTAAGACTGTCTTTGTCACTGTTCGGTAAACCAGCAAACTAGCAAAAACGGCATAAAAAGGTCTCGGCATTCGTGGACTGGCCGCACCCTAAATGAGGGGCATCACATGCATCTACCATGAAAAATGACAAAACCATCCAACAAAACCCTCGTTTCAGACACAGCAGACAAGGACTGAGACCTAATATAAAAGGGCAAATCTAGTGGGTTTGTAATAAAGATATTTTTTATTTCTACATTTTACCATCTCAAAGGACTCACTCATTCATCTCAAAGGTAAGAACTGCTGCTGCTTTGACAGTTTTTGACACTCCGCTTACCGTCTACTCGATAATAACCAAAAGCATGATACAACAACTTTTAGAAACTGGTTAATTGTGAAATAGTTTTGCAATCTTAGTAAATTAATGTCCTATAAAATGGACATTTTTTCTTTATTATGAAATTTGTGCAACATTTTAAATCTATTACCCTATAACTATAGCTGACGACCAAAGAGTGTCTGAGAGAGATTGATAATTTTGGTTTCCTGTAAAATAAGCTTAGACAGGTGCCTAACATGTCTTTTAGTGTCCCAAACCAGCATCAGTTACCCATGCATCTTAGACACACATGATCTGAAGCATTGGAGACTTTACCCGAAATATTATTGGTCTGTTATAAATTCACACAAGCTTTATAAGTCCAGTATCACCATCTAGTCTTCATCTTACAATTATTTTTCTATTTATTTCACTCACAACACCCATTTTATTAAGGCAGATGCTAAAAGTTTTTGTTGTGATTATCCTTAATGTTATTTTTTATTCAGATTGATTTCGTGGTTTCATTGCTTTTGGTTGGAGGCCCTGAGCCATTACCTTGTATGATATTTCTGGAACACCGGTGGCTAAATGACAGCTTCTATTCCACTGACGCTTTTTTATACCACAATGTTATTCACTGCACTATTCACTGTTTCTTAAATGTATTTCAGAAAACACTTAAAAATAAACTGGACTTTTATGCATTATTGTTTAATAAAAGTTTGTCGAAAAGCCACAGTATTTGATCCCAGTAATTTTCAAGGCTTCATGACAGACTTCTATCCACCCCTATATTCTATATTTTACTGTTTGAATGCTAGATCATTTTGGCCTGTGTGGTTTAAACGCTTAATGAAATTTCCACAGCAAGGATTTCAAGTTATTGTCTTGTGACATCAGCTGACTTGGCATGGGCAGGTCAAATATTGAATACAGAACAGTATTGACATAGCTGAAATTAAATGATAATGTCAGAATTATGAAGAAGAAGAAAA